TATATATATATATATATATATATATATATATATATATATAAAGCTGAGTATGAACTCAGTTACTCCAACAGCAATACAAAAGTAATAAAATGAAAAAAATAAAAGGTAAAGAGCGAAATATGTTGTTTTATTTCATTTCTTCACAGAACTCATTAGATGACGAATTTACAGCATCACAAAATTCTCAGTTCTGTCAAATGGACTCCACCACAGTTGGCTTATAAATAAGGGCCACAACAATACAGTTGATACATAAAACCAGCCAGCCAATCAGCAAAAACATACGCCACCTTCCCAAAAACCCACCCATATCAGCAGTACTGCTGAACACTTCCCTAGCAGCAAACCCTAACCTTACACATCACATGCCTCAGCTATCACCTAGTTATAAACAAAACCCAGACTGGGAGCAATCAGCGTAGCTAGAGCATGAAACACAAAACCAATAAAATGTGAAACCATTGACCCATGATGCTCTTTGTTAGAGGGTGAGTTGTGATTGGTCTTATGAGCGATTTCCACTAATAGGTTGGAGAGGAGCAGGTCCTTACTCTTCAGCTCAGATGTTACGTCTGTTTTCCTTCCATCTCGCTGTAGTCAGACACAACCTGCTGTTTCTACAGAGCAGAGTGGATGGTTTTAATTTACTCTAGACACTTTGAAGTTGACAGGTTTGACAGGACAGACTTCTGCTGTCTTCAGCAGAGCGTCCTGCTTGCGAACCCTGTCAGGACCACCTCAGCTGGGTGTCTCGGGTCCAGCTCAGGGCCCTTTTGACAAGCTGTCGTGTGTTTGTAAGTGAAACCGTCCATCAGGCCGTTAGCTAATGCACGATGAGCTCTCATCGCCAGTGTCTGAATGCCACTCTTGCTAACTAGATAGCCTTGGTAAAAGGCCAGGGGACAGGAGACCAATCTATTATGACAGGATGTCCAACTGAACAAGCAAAGACCTGTCCTCCAGTCCGTAACTAACATGTGAGTGTGTAGGTCCAGCTCTCTCCTCCTGACAGAGTACTTGGGTAGTCCAGTGAGTTATACCGGGCCTTGACTATTGAAAGAGGCGGTGAGGCCCCCATTTAGGTAGATTTATGGCTCCTGTCCTGGGGCTGGGCGGGGTGTCCCAGATCCTCAGTCTGTTATCTGTTTTGAAAGAAAATGTCTGACATACTTCTGTGGATGCCTGCTGTGCTCATGCAGTCACGACGATAGACGCTTCATAAATGTTTTCTGGATGCTCTTGGGGGGGGGTGTCATTTACAAAGACTTGCAGCTGCCTGTTGGATTAGGAGCGGGGGGGGGGGGGGGGGGGGCTGAAAAACTCCCGCCATCTCACTGGGCTGCAACTGTACTCCCCGGACAAGGTCCAAAGCAACGTAGAGCGCTATCCATTCGCTGTCGTGGCTCAGAGAACCTGCGCTGGAATTGTGAACACATTAAGAGCTTTTGAAACCGAATTTGACCGGCTTCATGGCAGACGTGCTAGAGTCGGGAGTACAAGGGCCGCGTCGCAATTTGACCTTCTATCTAGCAGCGGCAGTAGAAGGCGGCCCTCGTCCAATAGCTGTTTCCTCTCAGCACAGCAGCAGAGTCGCCACAGGCATTCAAGTAGTGCTCGCTGCACAACCACAAAGGCGGAGCTGAACCAGAAGGCGGAGCTGCACCAGAGTCAGCCCCGCCCACTCCATCAGAGTCAGTCCAATTCCTTCCAGTTGTCAGACTTGATAGCATTCTGGAACCATAGAGGGTGTTATAGCTAATATAATCTAAAATGCAAGATTGAGGACGGAGTTGAGAAGTTAATTGAACCGTTTTTGTAAAGGTTCCATAAAATAAAAAATCTAACTTTTGTAACTTTTTACCATGTTGTCATTTCCTCATAAGAAATACGCCAAAGCCATTTTTTGGCCTCATTCACACATTTTCCTCCCATCTCAGCTTCAATTTGGTCTCCTCCCCCGAAGCGGGTCTGGTCTTGGTTCTCAAATCTGGATATATTGTGAATTTTCTGACAAATAATTTCTGAAATGACTTCTACTGAGACACCGCTGGAAAAACCATACATCCCATCTACAAAGACACACTGGATGGCACAATTACATGTAACGCCACCAGCTTGTTATCAGATGTAGTGGTGAAGTGGTTGTGGCGTCAGCTTGGAATGTAGTTTTGCGCAGGTTCGCCTCCCGGTAGCGGCGCAAACTTTTTTCTTCTTTTCTAGCTACACTTGCCAGTACTATGTTTTTAACCATTTATTGGTATACCGTTTAAAATATAATGACTAATTGTTTGGTTTTTTTTATTTATTTGTTTATTTAGCCAGTGTGAGTCCATTTGTGAGCAGTTTCAACTAAAATGCTGTTTAGGAACGACCAAATTCAAAGAACTTTGAGACATAAATATTTTGCGGAAAATAAACATTACAACTAAAATATAAACAAATTAAATGTTTCAGCTGGCTAAATAGATTGCTGCCGACCCCACCGAGAGTCGAACCAGCATCAGCTGAGGGGAAAGCAAAAGTTAAGTTTGATGATCTTGCCACTAGACTATGCTGTCGTAGGCCGCTTTTGTTGGAGCGTCTGTGGCCAGATATTTACTGAAAGAAACCTTATTATTTCGGGATATATTCAGGCTTTGTCATGTAGCAAGTTATATTTCTTGTTTAATTGGAGCATAGAACATAGCGTTAACATTTGTAAACTAGTAACATCCGTAGTTCATGTGGGTCAGGTTGGTTTGCGATAAAATAAAATAAAAAAACTGAAGAAGTCAGTGGGCTAGGCTGTTTGCAAGAATGGGCGGGGCTGACTCTGGTGCAGCTCCACCTTATGGTGCAGCTCCGCCTTTGTGGTTATGCAGCGAGCACCCTCTCCAGGCATCTGGAACGCGTCTCAGTTTAAGTTGTCTGAGTCAGAAGGAGGCGGTCCCCGCACAGTGAACGGGGGGGGGGGCAGTCCCCAAATCAAGAATACGACGAGCGTTCAAGAGTGTGCCTCATGAACTCATTCAGACTCTTCTGGAATAAATTGCAGTAGGAACTCAGACGGGGACAATAATTCAGGCCAGGAGTGTGTTTTTCTCACTTCTGTGTTTGCATCCAGACCCTGGCTTCATGTCTAATTCTCTGTTCTGAATGTAAAAGACGTGTTTCAGGATCGCTCATTAATCTTTCTCGTCTTTGCCTTCTCACAGCGACCGGCATCACGTCTCCAGCTCCATCCAGGTGCCCATCAAGTCCCAGTTGGGCATGTCCACTGACCTCGCCCACAGCAGCTCTCCAGACCCAGGCGTGAGGAAGAGGGCTAGCTCAGAGGCCGAAGCGCAGATTAAATATAATCTGTCTCCTAGCAGCAACAACGCCACAATGGATGAAGACCCATCTCTTGTTGACCTGGCCCCACGCTCACCTGCACCCAAACAGCTGTCTTCCTCACTTGATGCCAGCATGGCATCACATAACCTGACCATTACCACAAGGTCCAGCAAGGATGGAGATCAGGAGGAGAGGGAGGAGCAGGGAGGTGCAGCAGTGGAGGAGGAGAAACACCAACTGACTGACAAAGAGATTGAAGCTAATGAAGAGGGGCGGCCCCCCATCAACACCGGTGCACCCAGCTCTTCTACAACTCTGGACGTCGATGAGGTCCAGCACATGAATGGCTCCTTGGTACCAGGCCCACCATCTGCTGGTCTGGTCCCAGAGCTGCTCTGCTCTGTAGAGCAGGCCGAGGAGATCATGGGCACTGAGGCCACGGGGTTGGGATTAGCAGACGAGGCCCAGCTGGAGGACTACCGCTGCATCCCCGTGGACCACGCTGTCGCCGTGGAGTGTGACGAACAGGTGCTGGGTGAGCTGGATGTAGCTGGCTTCGAGGAGTTCTCCAAGCGTATCTATGCACTCAACGAGAATACGTCCAGCTTCCGCCGGCCGCGCAAGAACTCTGACAAGTGAGACGCAGCACCTGTGGCCAGAGGGAGCGCCGGGAAAAGTTGCACATTCAGGCTGGACACATGGGAGGAGGGAGATGAGTGGACAGGGACAAGGTGTGGTCCATCTCAGCTTCAAGCACCACAGGAGCTGTTTCAGATTAACCAATTTGCACTTAATGTAAACATTTCCATAGCAACCGTATAATTACAGAAGTCAGGGTGCAGGTTGTGGGATGGCAGCGTTGGTTTTCTAAACGGCAGGTTTTACTCCACTCTTGGGTTTGAGCATCACAGCGTCAGAGTTCATGAGCAGGAAGAGGAGAGACTGTCAATGTCTCAAACTGTCGTTCTTAGCCTTCATCATCTTCATCCAATAAGAGGATGGCTTTAATGACATCACCCCAACAACCTCAGGGTTGTGATTAGCGTCGCCGCCCTCCTGTTTCTGCCGCAGCAACAGATTCCTTCTGCTATCAGTGAGGGAGGCGGGATCTCCTCACACACTCAGCCAGGTCCATCAGGTCCAAACATGATGACCATGAGCATCAAGTTGGACCTCTCAACTGTTGTCAGGGAAACGGTGCAGTTGTCTGCGTTGTGCCCACTTTTTCCTCCTGTATGAACTCTGAACATTCATGTCGCTGAATTTTACTCAGCCAAACTTGTAACTTTGTTTTGAAATGTCCCTCTCAGGCCTCCGTCTAACCGTGTCTACCCTGCTGTGTGTGATTTAGTCCCAACGCTCTGTTCCGGATCCCTTCCTGCACAGATATTCCCTTATGGGTTATGAAGCCTCATGTTCTAGTCATATGGATGTCATTCATGAAAACGTAGATTTCAACCTGTTACTCATTTGCTCTAGGGGTCGCGGGGTACCGACCCGTCGAACACGGCCCACTGCAGCTCCAGGTCCACTTCTGTGGTTCCTGACTGTTGGGAGGAAGAAGCTTGTTGGATCATTTCCATGAACACAGATCATTAAGTGACCGTGTACATAAAATTTTGTATGGAAGATTCTTTTGGTTAATAAAGACCAATGGCATAGGTGGAACCCCCACCCCCCTTAAAGCAGTTGTGAGCCTGTTTGTAACACACCCACAGACACACTCTGCAGGATCAGAACTTCGTGGATGAACTAAATACATCTAAGGTATATTTTTACTTTTTCATTTTAAAAATGTGCTCTTACCCCCAAATTCTACTACCTCCGCTCCGGTCTGCCCCCGCCTTCCACAGCCGCTCGCTTCCGAACTCAATTTTTACTGGTACCCGCTCTACAACGGCTCCGCTCCGGTGCGGAGACCTGAGGTGGGCAAACAAGCATGCGCGGGATTTTCGAGATCTTGCGATACAGTCCGAGCAATAAACGCGGAAGTTAGATCCAAACACCCGTTGTGTGGGAGAAGCATCGGCATGAGCTGTTTAATCTGCCCATCATTTGTGTTGAGAGATCAGCAGTGTTAGGATCAACAAAGTGTGACTACTTTGATAGTAGAAACTGTATTTATGGCTTACTTTTGTGCATTTAAACTTCAGCCGCCATTGATAGTTGTTAAAAGTTGTTAAACCTGTGCATATGAAACAAAAAACGCCTTTTGTTTATCGATTTATTGTGAAAAACGGAAGTTGTGCTTGCTCCTTTTCCTGTTGGGCGGTTGTGATTTCTGTCCATTTACTGCGGAGGTGCTCCGGCGTCCGGCGAAAATAGGATCGATTCTTTTTTTGCCGGACGCCGGAACAGAGGGCGGCGCACGGCGCCGCACTGCCGGAGCACGGCCGCAGTAGTGGAATTGCTCTGATTGACTACAACGGGACCGATTTTGTTCCGGTGTTCGTGTCGGAGCGGAGCGGAGGTAGTGGAATTTGGGGGTTAGTTTACATGGAGGGGCGGGGCTTGACAAGGACCCAGCCACAAGGGCTGTCGTCTGCCCCCCCACTTTTTCCAAAGTCAAGATTTGACCCCTGCACTTTTTACCATCCAAAAGCAACATTACGCTATATTAAATTGACACTGGTTGAGCTCTAGGACCAAGCGGGAAACAACCTGTTTCCCATTAGAGCATACTGTAAAGATCCCCCCCCCACACACACACACACACACACACACACACACTTCTAAAGTGAAAATTACGTCCATGGCTGTCGTTCCCTCTGGTTGGGTTCAAAGATGAACAACTGCATTTGTATAGCAACGTTCTGAGAGGACTCCAAAGTGCTTTACACCACAGTGAATCATTCATCTATTTACACGCTGCTGGTGATGAGCTTCAGTGTAGCCACAGCTGCCCTGGGTGCACTGACAGAAGCGAGGCTGCTGTGCACAAGCACCACCGGTCCCTCCGACCACCAGTTGGCTTCTCTCAAAGCGGAGCAGCAGCTCCATCGTGGTGGCTTCTTGTGTCCGTTTTCACCGAAAGCTCGGGACCACGGGTGACGCTTGGGAGTGTAGCCCAACCACGTTAGTTCCCTCTCCCTGACACGGAGTTGGTGGTCCTCCCTCAGATGGATTTGGAGATGCTGCTTCCACCTTGACCTAAAGTGATGCGTGTCTACTCCCTGGCGATAATTGGCAGCACATAACTAAATCAAGCGTTATTTTGTGTTTGAGTAAGGGCTGTGTTTTACCTCCAAAATGAACGCGTCCGGACCCTGAAATTTACGGTAACCAGTAGGTGTAGTTGACAGAACGAGTGAGACACACTCAGCATGGGGACTGTCTGATTTAGAGGTCTTTCATACCATTTACGACACCGCCGCTCTCTTTTTTTTTTTTTTTTGTTGTGAACTCAAAACTAACCATTAACTGATCTTTTCTATTGATGCCATGCTTGTTTTGGTTGTACCCACAAACCCGGCTCCCGCTCCGCTCTTAGGTGTCTAACGTGCCCCCTAGTGGAACACTCCGGTACCACAAGCAGTGCAGTGAAGCAGCAAGTATGAGAAGAAGGACGCCGATGCCTGCACCACCACAGGGTCACGGCCCTAGGGCCGTACCGATGGATGGCCTTTAGGGTCAAAAGTTCCTTGGGAGCGTAACGTCCGGCAAAATGACGAGCACATCAGACTCCCTTTCATCAGCGGCAACGAGCGAAGAGCCAAATGTGTAAAACTAGTTTTATGAACGGCTAAGGTTTTGTAATAGTTTGTTATGAATCAGTAAATGCATTTTGTCCTCACAGTCTCCTGTAGAAGGAACTTGGCTTCCACCCCCATGCATTTTAGACCCAATTTTTATGGTTAAAGCTATTTTGATGGATATTTCCAGAGATTAAAGGTAAAAACTACACATCACCTCTGTAATGATTAGAGGACCAAACTCCTACCCCACAGCTGCACCTAAGACTTGGTTGATTATTTTCTTATATTTTTGTAAATCTGCGAACATTCTGAAGTATTTTCATGAAACTAAGAATATTAATTAGTAAAGCATAAGTGTGAGTTAGCGTGGTAGAGTTAGGAAGCATGGAGCAGTTATCGTGGCTTCCCTACCTCTGAAACAGTTACGCTAAAGCTTCAACAGCAAACTGCAATCCAAACATTCCATTAAACACGAGGAAGACGCTGATGCAGGAAGGTTTCTGCACTAATGCCACGGTGCTGGGAAGCTGCAGATTTCCATAATCTACAAACAGATAAACTTGGAAGCAGCAGTGACTTTTCCCAGAGGTGGTTAACCTTCTAAAATTCCTCCTAAAGCACAGCCATGACTCATACAGGACGATCCAAAGAAAATGTGGAGACACGGTGGGCCTCTCTCACCTCGAAGGTCAACGTTCACAACTGGATCTGAAATGCAGACGTTAAAACGGGACCCAAGAGAACAAGAGGAGAAGAAAACCTCTGACAACTCAGAGGAATACGGAGTTTCCTCTCCCAGGTTTACCTTGGCACACCTTGGCAACCTGCCGAGTCTTTAGGGAAAACGTTTAGCAGGCCGGTGTGTCAAAGGTCGGCCTAGCCAAGGACAGATTCAGTCATGTTTGACTTGAATGAAACACACGGGTCTGTTTAAAGGTGCATCGTGTAGAACTGAAGTAAAAATGACAACTTGTGGTAAAATGTGGTTACCACTTTAGACAACTGTTGCCCCCCCACCCCCTGATGGTAAACAGTAGTTACGTCCCTCCTTCCTTTGTTTTGAGAAGACAAAAACCGACAGTCCAGCAGCTGCACGTGAAATATGTGTCATGTCCCGTGTCCTGGTCTCTTCCCTTCCTGTCTCCTTCCCTGACTGTCATTCAGATTCCTTGTTTTGGTCTCGTCGTCGTCTTCCTCCGCTTATCCGGGTCGCGGGGGCAGCATCCCAACTAGGGAGCTCCAGACCGTCCTCTCCCCGGCCTTCTCCACCAGCTCCTCCGGCAGGACCCCAAGGCATTCCCGGACCAGATTGGAGACGTAACTTCTCCAACGTGTCCTGGGTCGACCCGGGGGCCTCCTGCCAGCTGGACATGCCCGAAACACCTCCCCAGGGAGGCGTCCAGGAGGCATCCTGACCAGATGCCCAAACCACCTCAACTGGCTCCTTTCGATCCGGAGGAGCAGCAGTTCTACTCCTAGTCCCTCCCGAATGTCCGAGCTCCTCACCCTATCTCTAAGGCTGAGCCCAGCCACCCTACGGAGGAAACTCATTTCGGCCGCTTGTATCCACGATCTCGTTCTTTCGGTCATTTCCCAAAGCTCATGACCATAGGTGAGGATTGGGACATAGATTGACCGGTAAATCGAGAGCCTGGCTTTCTGGCTCAGCTCCCTCTTCACCACGACAGATCGGCTCAGCATCCGCATCACTGCAGATGCTGAACCAATCCACCTGTCGATCTCCTAATCCCTCCTACCCTCACTCGTGAACAGGACCCCGAGATACTTAAACTCCTCCACTTGAGGTAGGACCTCTCCCCGACCCGGAGTTGGCAAGCCACCCTTTTCCGGTCGAGAACCATAGTCTCAGATTTGGAGGTGCTGTTCCTCATCCCAGCCGCTTCACACTCTGCCGCGAACCTGCCCAGCAAGAGCTGAAGGTCAGAGCTGGATGAAGCTAGGAGGACCACATCATCCACAAAAAGCAGAGACGAGATTCTCCAAATTGCCACCAAACTCGACACACTCCACACCACGGCTGCGCCTAGAAATTCTGTCCATAAAGGTGATGAACAGATTTTCTTTTGGTCTCTTTAGTTAAATTTCTAGTTTATTCCTTTATGTAGTTGAGGTGATGTCTCCCCAACCCTCTGTGTCTCTAGTTCTGTAGTTTCTGGTTAATAGTCCACTTTAGCGTTCTTATCCCCAGCCCTCCAGTTTGATGCTCAGTGGTTCTTGTTCTCCATTTTGAGTTCAGGCTTTTCTAGTGTTTGTTGTTCCCATAGCAACCTTCTAGTCCAGCTGAGTTTATCGTGTTCATTCTTATGTCGGTTTCAGCCTCCTGCTCATGTTTCCTGCCCACTCAGGTCACACCTGCTCCCAGCCTCCCTGCGTATAAAGTCTGTTGTTTCAGCGGGGTTTGTGTCCTCCTGCGCTCTTACTGATACCCTGAGTTTAAGAGTTTTTTGTGGTTCTGGGTTGGCTCTCTTGAGCCTTTTGGATTTTGTCTCAACTCTCCTTCAAATAAAGAATCGTTGATTTTTGCAGCATCTCGCTCTCTGTGCCTTCCTGGGTTTCTGGGTCCACACCTCCTACAAAGCGTGACGATATGTTTCAGAAGAGCCTCCTTCCAAAGTGACTGAAACCAACTTGGGATTTTCTCGCTGTAAAATTTTCACTATAGTCTTACATACTGCACCTTTAAAGCAACACAAACACTGGAAGAAGGATTTTTATGAGGATATTTTGCTCCATCAAGCTGACTTTCCATGATCGAGGGAAACGTGAATTCTGCCCTGTAAAAGCCCAAAGAGGAGAACATCTGGTCATCAGTGAGCAACGTGAAATTCAAGCAGAAACAAGTTATGCAGTAAGACAAAGATCCCAAACATTTCCACTCCTGTCTGGATGGCTCAAAGGGAACTAAGCTCATGTTTTGTCATGACTTTTTCTAAATTAGGTCATAAATCTCAGCTGGCCTCCACAGACCA